AAAGCGTATTTTTCAAGTCTCTGAAGACTTTATGGAAATTAAATTCTGATAATGCCATATTAAAGAGCGCAAAATTCTGAACAAAATGAGGGGTCGCTGCATTTTCTACGACCTTCCCTTGAGAAACTACAGACACCACAAAACACGAAAAAAATGTATTTTTAGCCGACTTTTTGATAAAATTCACTTTATTTTATGTTTTGTGGTGCCTGTAGTTTCTCAAGGGAAGGTCGTAGAAAACGCAGCGACCCCTCATTTTGTTCAGAATTTTGCGCTCTTTAATATGGCATTATCAGAATTTAATTTCCACAAAGTCTTCAGAGACTTGAAAAATACGCTTTTTAGTTTTTTTGAAACCTTACTCGCATAATCCGTCGATGGAATCCTGGTATATAGTGTATTAGATAGAGCTCTTCATCCGCTATTCAAATCACTATTTGGATTTCTTCAACAAATCATTTTGAACAAAATAATTCACGAAACTAATTTCGCTTAAACTTTTGCATTTGACTATAGAAACATTTGTGATAAAATACAGTTTCCGATGTATTTTCGCACACTGATTCCTAAAATCATGTTTATTTTCCAATAAAAAACAATCTCTGATAATCAAAATCTAGAAAAGCGATCCGTTTTTTTCGAGTCTTTTATGTCGGAATGACCTAGTATTAAAAAATGATGCCGTTTTGCTAACTTTGAAAGAGTGAAAGATGTAGCATTTTCTTTGATCGCGTTTTGCCAATTCTTAATCATCATATAGAACTTCTGTTTTCAGAAGTTCATACTATAGTATAAGTATCTCCATTCTTTTCGATTTTTTTTATTATTTTGATAGACTGTATGAAACTACATTAGTGATAAAAATTTCACTTTTCATCTCAAAGTCATTGTAAGCTTATAGATTAAACAATCTTTTTTGGTTGTATCAAAAACAATCGTATAAGTGAGTAATTTTTAGTAATAGACAATACTCGTCAACAAAGCAAGTGTTTACGATAATTTTTATTTTTATTTGTTAGAGAATCTTCAGTTGTATATGCAATAAAATTTTAGTCACTATTCATGCAATTATACATGAGATATAAATCATAATATAACCGAAGGGTCATTGTTTGTTGAAAGTTATCCTTTTGCTATCTCAGTCCCAACAAAAGAAGAAATAGTTAAAAGAAAAAAAGTTTCGCGGATAATGGATACTCATGGTAAAAGTGTCATTTCCTTTTGCTAACCCTTCAATGTAATGTTTTTGATATAATTGCACTTGAGTAGGATTTGGAGACGATGCTTGTTGTTCAATCTGCATCGCGTTTCTATAGGCGAACAGTGCGGTTTTATACTCATATATATTTTCATACATTTGACCAATGTTATCGCATGTTACCGCCAAATCTGGTTTTGTCACATGGGGGAATTTCTTCAAGATTTCTATTGTCTTTCGATAAAATTCGATTGCTTTAAAATAATCTTTCTTATTCTTATGTATTGAAGCGATGTTATAATAGATAATAGCCAAATTTGCAACATCCTCTTTGTGAGATTCAAGAAGCGTTTGACAATACATGAGTGCGTTTTCATAGTGCTCAGTTGCTTTCGAATGTTCTCCCATGCTTTCATACATTTGACTTATGTTGCTCTCAATATCAGCCGTATCAATATAATTTTGAGGAAGATAATTTTGCTGGATGTTGAGCATTGTTTGAAATGATTTCAAAGCTTGAACATATTCTTCCATAGAGTAATACATTTCAGCAATCTTTCTATAGGTTGCAGATAATTTTTGAAAATTTAAAGGAATACATTTTTTGTGAATTTTCAATATGATTTGATAGTACTGTAATGCTGTCGAATATTGTTTCATTGTCTTATTTACTTCAGCGATATTACCATAAATAATAGCCAGATTTGAATAATTAATGGAATTAGATTTGTTTTCAATGTCCAGTGCCGTCTGATAGGACTGCAATGCCTTCGCATATTCTTCTGTACACTGATGTAAAGAGCCGATGTCATTATGAATTGTAGCAAAGTCTGAAAAGTTCAAATGGGTACAACTTTGATACATCATAATAGCCTTATTGTAGAAAATGATCGCTTTTTTATAAAAATTTGTATTTTTTTTCACTAGTCTCATTTGATGATAACGATAACCAAGTCCTTTCACATCATTTTTCGCTGAGTTCTGAATGAGCATTTGAAAAACCTCTTCGGCTTTATTGAAATGTCCCATTATGAGTAGCAGTCTACCGAGTCGATCCCATCCAGTCGAACCTTGTGTTGCTTGTCGAATATATTCGCTAATTCGTTTGACATCTTCGTCATCGTTACTTGTTAATGACAATTCAATTCTCCAGAGTCGATCTTCGAGTTGTTTCATCTCACCAACTCGAAATATAGTATGCATTGTGAATAAGAATTCTTCTTTTGCATCAGAATGATAATTCTCTGTGTCTAACGAGGCATATGGCGTAGAAATGAGAGATGTAGAGTCAATGTTTATTTGAAAAATAATACCGATTAGGTCGGAATCATGTCGAGAACGATCGGCATCACGTAGAGCTACATTTTCATCGATACTCGCTGATAAGAAACTGTTGAACGAAAAAAGACCACCTTGCATCATGCGGAACTGCTCAAAATGTGCATGTGTTAATCCTTGACTTCGATAAAGTGTCAATTTTTCAGATGAAGGCTTATAAAGCTTTTCGATTTGTTTATAAAGATCTTGTATAAAGAATCTCATTTTGATTATAGTATAGAAGCTTTGTAATCTAAATGCTTGATTCATGATATCAGAGAGACAACAATCATGAGTATACCACCAAATAGGTGTATGCATGCTATAGTTATGTTCCAATTCATCAATTATTGTATTATCAACGCGTTGTTTTTGACGATAGAATTGTATAAACTCTTTCTTTGATTTAACATCGAATTTCATTTCAACAAATATTTCTTTTAGCAATTGTGTACACAAGAACGATGGATCAATACGAATCATTTCCACATTAGTGACATAAATTGTAGGAAAATCGAGATGATACTGCTGAATATCTTGTTCGAGCATTTCACAAATCGAACCAATAGAAGTAAAAACATCCTCTATCTTTTCCCAATTTTTTATCCATTCTTTATGTTTTGGCTTAGTTTCGCAAAATATAAAAATACTATGAATTTGAAACATATCGTGAATAAGCGGTATTGTTGATTGAGCGAAATCATTTGACGCAATCATAAATAATATCTCATCTGTTTTTGTTTTAAGAAATTCGATACATTTCTCAGGACTCGTAAAAATATCGATTTTATCAATTACTTGTCGAAGTTTACTAATCGAATTTTCGTAATCTTTGTTCAACATGATCATATTCGAGTGTAACCAAATGAGTCTGAAGTTGATACCAAGACGAGTTTGCAATAATGTTGAGGAATACTCATCATTGGAAGTTGTTTTTGCTGCATCTGTGAAAGTATTCATTATGCGTTGTGTTGTCCTGCCAACAGTCACATTAGTAGCAGTATGGCTTGATATGGTGGGTGAAGTTATTAATGCTTTCTTGGTCACGTATAAAGCGGCGTTTGACGTTAAATTTCTGGAACTATTAGGCATTTGCTTAACATTGTTTCGGATCATGCAACTACCACCTCTAACGAATATATTTGATCTGGATGATAATGTTTCTTTGTCTTCAGTTCTGATGGTTATTGCTGTTGTATTTCTAGGAGAAATTGGTGATAGCTTAAGTTTGCTTTTGGGAACGAGCTGCACAACTCTGTC